AGTAACAAGAGACCAGTAACAAGTGACTAGTAACAAGTGACTAGTAATAAGTGACTAATAGTAACAATCCACTTCAGGAGACTCCTGATTAAACATCATGGAGACCGGATAACTAGTCCAGATTAGTCTAAACTAAAACTCTTTGACTACAACAAAGTGAAAAAGAAAGAGAAGTTCCACACAGTGAAACCCAATGATAGGAATCATAGTACTCTCTAGTACTCTCTAGTACTCTGTAGTACTTTAGGATAAGGCACTTCAACAGAGACGGAGAACACTTTCCAAAAACCAGATCAAATGATATGAACTGACGAGTCATTGTTACAGAACCAGTGAACCAGTGAACCAGTGAACCAGTGAACCAGTGAACCAGTGAACCAGTGAACCAGTGAACTGAAGACCAGGCTGCGGCCACTGGTCCAAGCCTCTAAACCACTGATATCTGCTGGTCCCCCCCGCCCCCCCTCCAGGTACTACGACCCCCGCTACAGAACCAGGGAGCAGGGACAGATGCTAATCATTCCTCATGTGAGAGAGTCGGACAACGGAGAATACTGCTGCATCGCCAACAATGGGATTGGAGAGGGAGCCAAGAGCTGTGGCGCCCTCCAGCTGAAGATGAGTGAGTGGCTTCGGTTTGATGGATGAAATCCTCCAATCAGATAAGAGCGACCAATCCTGTGTATTAGTGAAGACAAAAGGACGGAAACGTTGTGTCATGTCTGTCTCTGCTTCAGAACCACAAATCAAACGCCACCCGTCCAACCTGACCCAGCTGTTGGGCTCCAAAGCTGTGTTGCCTTGTGTGACCCTGGGAAACCCCAGACCTGATGTCACCTGGCTCAAGGACGACGAGATGATCAAGGTTGGTTTGTTTTATATACCTTTCCCGGACAGTGGGCCGGACATTGGGCCCGTCTGGTGTACAGTCCTGAGAGTGTGGGCCACAGTGGTACAGTGAGGTCCAGCCCACTGTATCTGTGGGTCACAACACGCCTACCCTTTTAGGTTTGTGGCCCACTTTCTGAATACCAAATATAGGTTTGTGAATACCCATAATTCTTTGCAATAAAGTAAAAACCCTGCTGAGTGAAATGATTTTCTCTGTGGCCTCACAGATCAGTGACCGTGTTACCATCCTGGACTACGGAACGCTGAAGATCCACAACGTACAGAAGGAGGACGCGGGCCAGTACCGCTGTGTGGCCAGAAACAGCTTAGGGTTGACCTTTTCAAGGCCGGTCACCATGGAGGTGCAGGGTATGTGTTCAAATCCCTGACGTTTTCTAGGTTACTCTTTAATCCAGCAGCTGATCTGCTGGATCTTGTCATCATACCGATGTGAACTTCTGCCCAGCGCCGGCTCGGATCCTGCAGGTGCCGAAAGAGAAGAGGGTGGCGTTCGGCAGCCAGGTCACCCTGGAGTGTAACGCCACGGGAAATCCAGTTCCAACCATCACCTGGCTGGAAAATGGGAATACTGTAAGTACTCCAACCCCAGCTTTGAGCTTTGATAGGACGAAAGCATTACGATGCTCTCTGGCTCCCTCTATCTGCAGTACTGCAGGCAGTCACACAGCACAGCAGCGACGGTGAATAAACCACAGAAACATTCACGGCCAATAAACCAAAGACTGGGTTTAACATGTGACTGGACCACACGGTTCTGGTTTAGTCATCACTGCCGCCGCGACGGCGTCGTAATCGTCCCAACATCAAACGGCCAGAGCAGCACGTTAGCGACATGAAACCACAGGAACACGTCTGCGTTCTCTTCCTGGAACA